GGGGGGGGGCGGTGTTGGTTTGCTTACCTTACCAGCTTCTCTTCCTTCTGTGATTTCCTCTTTTTTTACCCAAAATAAGGGGTGAGGCGGGGCGGGCCCTGTCCGTAGATCCGCCACGGAAACACCGCAGGGCGAAAAACAGTTAACATTTCTTGCACTGGAGAAAAAAACTTAAAGCAAATGGCTCTTAGTGGAGCGAAGAGGGCACTGAAAATGATCTTACTGAAGAGAAGTTTCCCAGTACTAATTCACATCTTTTCCAGATCATCAGCGAAAAAGAACAGACTTCGTAATGCAAGAAGCTTGCCAGCGATCAAAGTGCAATTTCGGAAATTCTCAAGTCCCTGATTGATTTCAGTTTGATGAGCAACAGGCATCTTGGAAGTGAAACATGCGTCTTCAGGGAAACATAATATATGTAATTTTAACATGAACAGAACAAGATTCTAATACACGGTGAACATTTTTTACTTACACGGCGGTTTTGAAATCTCTATATAGTAAAAACAGAAGTCCCGAATTTTTTTTTACAATTCCTACGTTTCTTGTCCATTAGATTAGGGAGCTAAAGCAACGACGACGGCGACGTCAAGGACAACGTCAAATCAAAAATAAATTTATATTTTACCAGCGAAATTCACAATTGTCTATATCTGTTCAATACGCCAATGGTTCTAGAAATGTACTCAGGCTAAAAATGCAATGACACCGTTCAATAGACCATTTTCGCTTGGGCGGTTTGTTTTCCATTACAGACTACGTGATATTCTCTAGAGAGTTGTTCTTTTATCCATCTAAAAATTATTTAATTATATCCACGTGACTATTTGAAAATTTGAAAGGAAGAATTCTCAAGAGTATCATCACATGGTCTGAAATGGAGCAACAAACCTCCCAGTCAGAAAAGGTCTATTCCAAATGGAACTACGAAAAATTAGCCGTCGTTGTTCGTATTGTATTTCGTATGGTACGGGTCGTCGTTCGTTCGTATTTGTATTGTATTATATTGTTGTTGCGGGGGACGGAAAAGAAACGTACAAAGGTTTATAAGCCACATGCACAGCTATTGTTTTTCTCATTAAACCTTTTGTTTGGTGACGTTCTCGTTGCCGTGGTCGCCGTTGAGCTTCCTATTGTCACTTGAGCCACGCCCATCGAGTTGACCGAGCGCGTGGAGATTGGTGTCTATTTAAGCACGTGAAGAATGCCTTCACTTCCTAACAGAAATACGAAAATTGATGCTCTCGAAAATACTTAGAAACTGGTCATTTCTCTGTGTCTCAGTTTCCAGAAGGGGGCAAGAAATTTCTAGATATGCATAATCGAAGTAAGTATTCTTCTCGTTGGTCGTCGTAACTTGCGTAAGGTACACCTTTCACCTAAGGCTGCATGAGAAGAAGTTTTGACAGCAATATTTGTCATTGCCGAAGTGACGTGACGGGCATACTTATGTTCTTCATCCACGACATCAAGGTAACATGGGAACATATGTAAGGCAAGCGATCTCTCGGTGGACTTGTTCAGTTATCTTGATGTTGTGTTGCGCTGTTCGTTTGAGTGACTACTTTTCCTTGACGACGACGTACCTGAAAAAAGTAAAAACGGTGAGACTCTTCCAACCCTGGCTTCCACAAGATCAATACCATGGCGAAAAAATTATTATGTTCAGTGATCGTTGCGATCAAATGGCAACCACTACGCAACAATAGTTTCCAGTAAAGAAAAAAAATTAGAAATCATAATTAACTGCTGAAGATAACCAAGGAACTTCCTTCCATAGTTAGCTCCACGAGGGAATCTGGGGACTGAAGAAGATTTCGGAGGTCGTGGAGTTCCAATCCAACTGGGGTGGAAAGCACTTTCCTTTGCCTTGTGCGGTCAACAGTATCCGTTCCTAGGGCTAACACTCAGAAGGAAATGAGACAATTCTTTGATGTCCAGCTTATCTAATACTTGTGCTACGTGTCTCGACATTTCAGTGAAAATGAAGCTTCTATACTCTACTGTGACTGCCAGGATCAATTCTCAAGACGACAGAAAACTGGTTCTTTTAAAAGAAGAAACTACAGGTTATGACGGCTTTTACGATATGAGAATACGATCGCCACCACTTCAACTGTTGTCAGCGATTTCTTCGATTACAAACAGGCGACAAGTTGTAAATAATTGTCAGATGAGGTTATTTGGTGATATGGACGAGGACTTGACACTTTCATTTAATATTTAGGGCATCACGAAAAACTCATTAAATAGAAGTTTTATTACATCCATTTTGAAATCACTTGTGATCCTCACAATCTGATTGGCTCTCAAGAGTGCGATTTATTCTCGAATCGCACTATTTTTGTGCTCTAAATAGCTCTAAATCGCATCTTTTTCCCAGCCAATGAGAGTGGAACACTAAAAAAACAACCTATCAGATTTCAAGGCTAGAAATCAATTACAGGAAAGCCAGAGCAATTTATTCACGAATCACGCTATTTTGTGTCGTAAATTGCATCTTTTTGTGTTTTGCATACAAAATGAGAGGTAAAAGCGTTTCTGGTTCTGCTTTTAACAAACCGGCTACTGGATCAATAAAATATTGGTACTGACCGAGGCGATTAAAAATGGTTGTAATAACGTGGCAATTGAACTTCGTGTCATGCAATTTGTCGCGCTGCGCGCTCGTTCAATTTTGAAATCACGCGTATGATTTGAGACCAAATTGCACCCCAGTCAGTTCAATTACCATTAAGGTGGCCGAACACAGTTTTCAAGAACTATTTATGCTTTGGCGCCCGTTTTTTGCAAGAGTCAAGGTTAACCACAGAAGGGTTTATTCTCGCATTTTGGCCAAGGTGTGGCTGTTGCCATGGCAACGGGGCTGGTTAAAAACAAGGCTTAAAAAATGGTTTTTGTTTATTTAAAAAAAATACAGTCGTTAGATTTTTTCATCAGTTGCCCACTACAAATTGACATTAAATCCCTTCTTTCAACACTGTTCTAATAAATTTTGACATAGACGATTTTCGTAATTCGCCGCAAATCGTTTTCTCTGCATGTCCTGTATGATTGAAAATTCCCTATGTCAAAATTCAGACTTTTTGTGATAGATCATTCATGTGGTTTCTGAACTGCGTTTTTTTTTGGCCAAATTTCTTGAAATTTTAACGACTGGATCGTTAGAAATCGGCAAGTTTATGCAAAAGCAATCGGTCAAAATGTTTTGAGTAACTGCGCATGCGCTGCATTTAACTGGGGTCTTTTGGTAACAAAGAAAAAGGTGAGAATTGCTGGGTTCTTTGCATCGTTAGCTTTTCTAACATATCTTTGTCATAAAAGACTAGAGCCATCAAAACACTGCGTTCAATAATAGAGAAAAATGATCGCCCTATTGACCGCATGTTTTGCAAAGAAAATGTAGACACAGGGTAAAATCAGTTGGGAGTGGAATCAGGTTGATTTGAAATCATTCGTCATTTAAACTCTTGTCTTAGCTTTCTCAATGATTTTCTTCTTCAGATATTTTTACAAATTTTCTTGCCTATTTTCAAGGGTATTTTTGTACTTCTTGTATGTAAATATACACTTTTCCCGCGTATTTCCTAGTTGGAAATGCTATCGATACAAACACACACACAAAGGATCTTAGCCGTGCAGAATCCCTTCCTTTATAATCAGCACCTTCTAGAATAGAAATAGCAACTTCAATGAATAATTAATACTACTCACCAGGCCTGCCATCCTTTGATGTTGGTCTGGGAGGAGAGGCTGAGCGCCCAAGGGGTGGTGGGGTGCTTGTTCGTGGTCTTGAATCGGGAGTGCGAGGGATCTTGGGTCTTGAAACAAAGGGTGTTTCATACTGTGGTCTAAAACGTTAAGAATAAAAAACAACAACAAAGGCATTGATAAGTCCACACAAATAACGGAATACAGTTAGTTAGAAGGAACGTAAAAGATTTAAAGAGTTAATAGCTATTGGTGCACATACAAACAGGCATAATAACAAGTCAATGAATGAACAACAAAGAACAAAGAAACGAAAGATTGGAATGATGCTTGGTTATGGGCAGCCAAGGCAGCTGAGTTTGGAGTACACGCTCCGTTGTCGTGCTCCGTTGTCATAGTAAGTAAAGAATTATTGTCATGTTACCTTGTAACATCACTCGACTAAGGTATATTACCGAGCGAATGAATCAAAGACAAGCTTTACAACCGCTTACCTAACGACAGAAGGCTTGACTGGTTGAGGAGCAGCCACACTTCCATCGTCTACATTAGGCTTTGTTTCCTTTGTAAACAACGTACTAACAGTTATACGTTGCAAGCGGATATAAGATCATTCATGTCTTTGCAGTTATTATTATTTCTCATTCAATTTGCAGGCGCAGATCAAAGGATTCAAAGACTACCTTTTTCACTTCTCAAACCCTTCTCCCATTCAGTGTTTAAGCAAAAAGAGGCACTGTATATTAAGTGGGAAATTTCATCCCTAAACCAACAGCTGGGGCACTTAGATTTGTCTCTTTCTTTTTAATTCTTTTTCATTTTTTGTTCATTTTATTTTACTTTTTTATATATACATAAATATATTTTTCTTCTGTTGATGTTTTCTCTCTGCATTGTTCTTTTTTTTTTCTGTTAGTGTTTTTGATTCTGTCTCAACTACTGTTGCTATTCTTTGTTTCGAGTGTATTCCAATATTTCGCAAATTGGTAACGTTAATTTTATGGTGTAATTCTACAATGTACAACCGTCGAACATTTGCAACTGAAGATGACATAGAAATGTCGAAACATGTTTTGTAAAATGAAAAACGTTGTTTCTTTTTTGAAAATTGCTGTTACTCTGCTGTTTTTACGACCGTTAAGCAAAAACATTTTGAAGAGCTATGGAGGGATTTTTAGCCAAGACAAACGTTATGTTACACCAGCATGTCAAAAGCGTACATAAATGATGTTTCAACTCTGAACAGTGTAGGACTGAGGCATGAACTGACTAAAATATTCAACTTACTTTCCTAGTGCTTGGAGGTCTTTCTGTAAGCCAAAAAAAGAACAAAATTAATTTTCCCATATCGATAAAGCCACTGCACTTTGACAATCTAACTCATTTGTTGGCGTATCTGAGGAAATTGTCAAAGTATTGAGTTCCTTACCATTGATTGGAACTTTGCAACTTGCCCAGCAAATTCAGTTTTAGTTTTGATTGAAAAGACATCAAACACTTGAGACACAGTGCTATTTAACCGCATTTCCAAACACCCCCAAAGTTCGTCAAAATACCTTGTTGCATGAGTTATTGTCACCTCTCTTTTCGGTGTTTCGAAATGTGTTAAAACACGATCTCTCGTGTTTGACATCTTGCATGAAACATGATAGATAAGTGGTAGTTTGTGTGCGCGAACAACACCGCCCCGCTACCGTCTAATCTCCCCAACATACACGTTTACATTGTAAAATCTGACGGAGAAAGAAAAAAAGAAAGAACAAAGTAAATTCCAAGCTCAGTAAGCTATCATGTGATATTCACCTTCTGTTGTTGGCCTGGAGCTCTGCCTTGATTTCGATGAAGTTGAGGGTCTGCTCGGCTATAAAGAACAGTAATTTTCAGTTAGCATCAATACAGTAACCATCATTTTGTCCCAGTGGAAGTGCACGCAGAAAACCATAGCTAAAACAAAAATAGGTGAGGAGTTGCAGAAATTATGCTCAAGAGGGCAATAAGTTTGAGACGCTGAATTGTTGTTTATGACATTGTGGCTGGTCAGCAATTGTTTTTAAAGTAACTCGGCAAAACAAAGCGGACATAAGAGAGAAATCCTAGGAATTCCTACATATAACCTTAGTATAACTTGTGACCAACCTGTTGTTCAGATTTTGATCTTATTGTTGTGGTCGACGGTCTGGAGGTATTTTCTGAAAGAGAAATTGAAATGAAATGGCATTGCTATAAAAACAGGGACCTTGGCGGAAACAAACATGATCCTATAGATTTATAATAAAACAGAGATTTTCACCTTCTGCCACAAAATCAAGAAAACGTAAGGTATTTACCATTAAGTATAAATCTACTAGCGTTCTATCACGAATGCCGTTCTCTGATTGGCTACGCTACCCACTATCCATTTTGTCATAGATAGTGAGTAGCAATCTAGTATGCGCTTGTTAACAAACTGGCGGCCGCTTCTTTGCGTGTTAGACAAGTCTCCGAAGACGATTTAGATCAAGTTTAGATGAACGACTAGTAGATTTATACTAAAACAATTAGATTACTTGCTCTCGATTTCTATGCGTAATAATTGACTAGGGCTACACCCTCATCAACTATCACGCAATAGAAATCTCGAGCTCGTAATCTAATTGTTGAATAGTCGATCTTTTTAAGTTGTGTTTAATGCTACTTTACCTTGAATTGTTTCCACAGCTCTTGCTCCTGGAGTGGTCGGCCTTGTAAGAGGGTGATCTGGACCAAGACTCGCTGAAATCTAAACAACAAACAACATCTACTGTGACCGTGTTTAACAATATCACTGTGTATGGTTTGAACCATTGACGACGCAAGTCCATCTAGTTTGACCTCGCGGATGAGGGTGGTCCTGACAAGAAGTTGTTGCTGCTGTACGACAGTTTACCGACCTATGCAGAAGTTATTGCCAGAGTCCAATGAAAAGTAAAAAGTATAATCGAAGGCTTGTTGAGCTGTCTTGTATAACAGTTCTTTTCTCCAACTCTTTTCTCCCAATTTTATGTTTTCTCAACAAACATAGTCACGCGCCACCTTGGTTTGCAAGGCGGCTTAAATAATATAACTTCAAATTAGCCAAGACAAGGCAGTCAACAGCTAAAACACACTGATAAGTTACTGATTTTACTACATGTAAATCGGGTCCGCTGTCGATCGAGGTCACAGAGTAGCGTTTTGGAATCATAACAGCTTCATTACACGTGAAAAGTGTGAACGTTTATGTTTTTACTGCAATTTGAGTGCGTTTGTATCCCAATTTTAAAACTCACCCATTAGGGCTTTGTGTAAATTTTTCGGGCAAGAAGTTACTCACCGTCCCCCTCCCCCTCTCAGTCCCCCCCCCACCCCACGCCTCTGCGTGTGAAGGCAGTCAAAGGATAAATAAACACGATACCCTGTGTCTAAAACCAGAACAATATTTGTTCATGGAACTAATCTTTTCCTTGAAGTTCATAGCAATTTTCCAGCCTCACTCCTGCTGTTCCCTCATGGGACAAATAAATGTCTGCAGGCAAATGGCGGTTAATGCAATGAATACATGATAATACGATGAACGACATAATTTCTATGAACTGCAGTTGAAACATGACCTCTGAGAAACCGATGCAGTGCTCCACCAACTTGCCTCATTTTTCACGTTAACAAGTGGATGTTGCTTTTCATTTCATATCAATGTACAAAATGCTACACTAGAACACTTTGTAATTAGTAGCACTTTCTAGATCTTATTTGTATTCAGTTAATTTAAATTTTAATCACTATTCATAAGTATATAATATGTAAGTGATTTTATGTAAAATTAGGGAGGGCCATATTGTAAACTACTGGGCAACCAGTAAATTACGTTACCCTCGTTAAATAAAGTCTAATTTATTTATTTATTTATTCATGTACCTTTTTCTTGTTCTTTGGTTGTTCTGATGGCGCAGCTTTCTGCCGAAAATTGCAAAAAGTAAAATAAAAAAATGATACTAATAAACAGAAAAATAATATTTTCAAAATCGGCAGTGATCAATAACTAATATCTATTGATAAAACCTTTCTCTGGACAAATACCTTATAGAAGGTACTTACCTAGGCACGTGGACTGGTACCGATTTATTGAACCCTGCTTGCAATATAAGACAAGTATAGCCACTACACGTATGGGCATGACCCCATAAGCTACTGAGCTTTAATTTTTATTGTATTTAAATAAAGGTTGTCTGTCTGTCTGTGTAACGACAAGGAGACGAGAGACACTGTTCATATAAACCCATGGAATACTGGAATCAAGCTACATATTCAGAGTGTTCTTATTCATGAGTTGATATACACCGGTTAAACACTGTTTAAATTAACTGTAACACTGTGTAAATTCAACATCTCACGACTTGCAAACAACAAGTTGCAACTTTCTGAATGGAATAAAATTGACCTCTGTTTCGTTCAATGTTGTCAAGAGAGGATGAAGTGTAAGGAGTTAATCCCCTGTATAAGCCTTCTTCTCAGGATAGCCCCCTCAAGTTATTTTTAGATCACTCCCGTTTTAAGAAATCCCGGGGGGACTGGAGAGAGTCGACCCTGCATTGCAAATCTTACTCACGTGGACGGCCGAAGCGGCTTTTCTCGCATTTTAATTGTCCGTGAAAGCATCAACGCAAAAAGCGTGGTAGCATGATCCGCCTGAGGACTGGATACCACATCTAAAAATAACTCACGAGGGATAAATTTGAAAAACGGGAGCTGGAGAAAACCATGACAGAAACGGCAACGAAAATGCCACCAAAAAAAGACTTTATGAGCCGAACAATGACTATGCACATGCGTTATAAATCTTAATACAATACATGTGTGTCCTCTGCAAAACAACAACGTGAAATGACAAAATTCCACGTATTTTGAGAACGTGAAACACGACAGCCAATTTTTCGAATTTCGTTTGGAACTGTTTGCTGACATTAAATATTTAGCTTGAGCAAGTTTTACACTGCATGAAATACTGAACTGGTCAAGCTACAACCCTTCGTCCTCTCTTAACAATGTTCAACGTTACAGATAAGCACAGAGTTTTGCCCAACACAGCGAGATGTCGTTCAACAAATGTTAAACCCAAGCCTTCAATCTCTGGGCCACAAACAAGCAATATACCATTGAATACTGAGTGTTAAGTAACTCCTCTCCAAACAACTCTCCATCAAGTGGCTCAAGCATCTCCTGTTTGTCCAGCTCAGCATCAATAGCATCTCCCTCCTAATGACAAGATGGTAAAAATGGCAATCTCGATTCAAAACTCTTATTTCTCCTAATGACAAGGTGGTAAAAATGGCACTCTCAACACAAAACTCTTATTTCTTCTAATGAGGAGATGGTAAAAATGGCACTCTCAACACAAAACTCTTATTTCTCCCAATGACAAGATGATAAAAATAACACTCTCAACACAAAACTCTTATTTCTCCTAATGACAAGGTGGTAAAAATGGCACTCTCAAGACAAAACTTTTATTTCTCCTAATGACAAGATGGTAAAAATGGCACTCTCAACACAAAACTCTTATTTCTCCCAATGACAAGATGGTAAAAATAACACTCTCAACACAAAGGTTTATTTCTCTTAAACTGAGCCCTGGCCAAACGGACTCTCAAGTAGTCGCAAGTGGCCGCAAGTTGATTTTGAGTAGAAACTTGCGTTGGGTGGCCAAACGGACTCGCAAGTTTCCTTGCAAGTACACGCAAGTNAAAAAACATTTCTAGGCAGACATATCCAGTATTTCATTGGCTGATAATAGGAAATGGACGTCACTCAACTTACGTTGACTTGGGTTGGGTGGCCAAACGGTGAAAAACTTGCGTCGAATTTGATCTCGACCAAAGTGAGCGCAAGTCATCGCAAGCCAACAAAAGTGTGCGCAAGGCCTGGCCAAACGGAGTCGCAAGTAGACCGAAGTTTTCAACTTGCGTCTACTTGCGAGTCCGTTTGGCCAGGGCTTAAGGACAACAACATGGGTAAAATAACACTCTCGACACAAAGATTTTACTAATGACGATAGTAAAAATAACACTCTTGATACAAATATCGTATTTCTCTCCTGATGACACGATAGTTTTCAAATGCCTAACCCAGCCCTAAAGACCAGAGTACAGAGTGCAAAGTAAACAGTGGTACAATGTGTGTCATACTGTATATCTGTTGCTGCAAAAATCCACTATCTAAGATTGTAAACTATTAGGAACTGCTGACATAAGTTTGAGCGTATTCTATATTGCATACCATAGAAATCATAATGCACCAAACTCTTGAAAAAGAAACTGCTCAAAGTGGTCATGAGCCACTGAACTCGGAAAATGAATGATAGAAGAGTGTCGAGGCAACTGGACGGAGTTCATTTTAACCCTTTGGTCATTGGGTAAATCAAGATAAGGAATACATTTAACGACATTGTCTAAAATGATTTGTGTACCAGAAGTTACTAAGCACGACAACTCACATCATCATCATCTTCCTCGTCTTCATCATCAGACTCGGGATCATTTGAAGCAGTTGGATCATCTGTAATTTAAATAATAATTTCAAAACCAACAAAATTATTCCACCAAAATTATAGATTACATTGTGTTCACCAGACTGACCCACGTATCAAAATTTTTTCTATTGACACTGAAAAAAAAAAAAAGAACTCGGTTGATACAGGTGACCAAAAGAAGTGTCTCAGAAGCAAAAAGGGCTGTCTACACCATTTTTCACTGTTTGTGGGCACTTCTACAAAAATGACAGAGCTATTTTGAACCGGTTAAGATCTCACTAATCAATCAAAAATTGCAATAAATAAACCAATTAGAACTTTTAAAAACTGGATAATCTGTGCAATGATAGACAAAAATACACAATGATATGCAGTAACAAATATCCCACCAGTGTTAAGTTGCTTGATAATAAACTGAATCTGCCTGGTCATATCAGGGTTGTCGTCTTTAAGGAAACACTCAAGGATCTCCTCCATTCCCTGTATAACAAGCACATGACAGCAACAATAATTACATGGAATATGGCATGAAGTCTTTTTGTAGATGCTGTGACTGTAGCGGTAAGTTTTTATTTGGTTATCACTCGGTTGAGTGTAAAATGACAAGCAACATTTAGGACCAATTTGTCCCAAAACTGTAAGCATGCATAAGACTTTTGAAATTGTAAAATTAAATGAATACGTATCTCTACACCCAGTGACCAATAGCTTCGTTTATGATGCCAGCAACCAGTTCACTTGCAATTTCGCAGATGATCAAAGTTGCTGTGATGGGCATATAAATCACTGGTGTGTCAATGCCTTTAAAGGAAATTCAATGGAGCACTAAATGTCATTCTGTGATAGGATTGATGTGATGGTGACATTGATTACTTTCCGGAAATGCATCTGTGTTTGCAGTTTGCAGGCTACTACACTGTTGGATAAATTGACAAATTCCATACTTAGAAAGCATACACCTACATGAGGAGTTCTCAGCTCTATAGTTCTCATTTATACACGTTCGTATTTAAAAACGAGTTCTTAGCTCCTCGACGAAACGTGCTAATAGTCGATTGATTGATTTGTTTATTAGGCTTTCTACCAACCTACATTTATGTAGTTTTTGTAAGACAATAGGAAGCCCCCAATACCCAATGGACACTTTTTGATACACAAAATTAAGTGAATAAAATCATTACCAGAGCTCGTGCTTCCTCTTTCACAGTTGGCAATGCCAGAATACTGTACAACGCTCCATTCACATATGGACGAATCTATTAAAAAAAGAATAATATGACCCAAAAAAATCACACTTAGTACCACACGGAGCCAAATATTTTATACGAAAGAATGTAGACCGTTGACTTCCAATAAGTTGAATGACCTGGTACGACTTACACACGAAATAGGAAAATTTATTCTTAGTTAATTAAGAGGAATGGTTACGAAACCTGACAAACAAAGATGACAGGAATTCTGTCAGAAGCTCCATGACCACGATCAATCTTTGTTTCGCTCTTGTACACTATGTACGAATTAAGCAAGTTAACTGAAACGTTTCTTTAGGTTAGTTGCTCAGACAAAAACATGTAAAAAACATACAACAAAGAACTTTGTAGGGCTTCATAACCAATTTGATTGCATTTCAAAAGTTAAAAAAGGTGTTAAGTGAATAACACTGTACATACTTAACAGCTGCCAACAACCACGTGCATTTTTACCTCTTGATTTTCATGTCCTAAAAGATCACTGAGCACTCGAAGAATGTGAGCAGCATCTTTTATGCATTTTCTCTTTCCTGAAGAATGAGAATGTTATCACAGTATTACATTGTGATATCAAACACAACAGCAACGAAATCAGTAATTACAGAACATTTTTATTTACGAAATAGAAAGCACGTACTGTGTTTCTATCAAGTTTTAGTATAAATCTACTAGCGTTCTATCATGAATGCCATTCTGTGATTGGCTACGCTACTCACTATCTATTCCGTGAATAGATAGTGAGTAGCGTAGCAGTGTGGGCTTGTTAACAAAATAACGGCCTCTTCTTGGCGTTTTCAAAGTCTCTATGAACAGAATCTAGATAAAGTTTTTAACGACTAGTAGATTTATACTAAAACAATTAGATTATTCGCTCTCGATTTTTATACGTGATAGTTGTCAAGGGTGCAGCCCGAGTCAACTATCACGCATAGAAATCTCAAGCTCATAATCTAATAATCTAATAATAGAAACACAATTTTTAATCAATCAGCGCGTGTATTTTCTTTGCACTATTTTCTAATCCAAAATGTAGCTGTTTCCTTTTTCAGTGCTATAATAAAATACATGGAGTCATTGTTTCTCTTACCAGCAGAGCGCAAACAAAGGTTCATGAGCAAGGCAACAGAATATTCCAGTGTGTAATCTGATAAGTTGTCATGGTCCATCAACAGTTGTGATAGCCACTGAATCAAATCACCATTAATCATGACTGATTGCATTTGGCGTCTAGAAAGAAAATCACAAGTGATTAGAGTTACACATATCAAGCAAACAATGATGATTACGACAGTTGCTCAAAATTCACCCCTCAAACCTCATTTATAGGAAATTCTTCTCAAAACTCTAGTGTCTTAACGTTGTTTTCAAGTGGGTATCCTTGTCATCTTTGGACGTTTTGGGAATTTAGTTATGATAAAATGTCACATTAACACTTCGAAAGAATAGCACAGTTTAAAACGTAAATGGTTTGCAAACCCACAGAGACCCTTACCCTCTCACTCCCAAGAGTGCCATGTGGCACAAAATACCATTACATGCTCAATATTTGGTCGATTTTTATCACATTTGAAGAGCAAAAAGGTCTTGGACAGATCTGTCTTTTGAAAGCATAAAATCACACCCCCTTCCTACACAAGGCTTGATTAACCACCCCTACAAATTGTGCAACTTTTTCCTCTTAGACTTTTAAGATCAAGTTAATATCTGACAACACATTAAGAGCTGCATATTAACCTATAGTTCAGGGGTATACCTTAACTATACAAGGAGTAAGATATTTTTTAACGCTTTTCGTTTTGAATGATTTTCAATTCAAACTGAGGCTTCCTCTATGCTTATTACTATAATGTATGGTATCCCACAAATAATGTCTTTCAAATGGTGTACTATGTGTGGTCCTGGAATCTACTTACTGTTTTACAAAATATGTGGTTTTCCCCACGGGAGTGAAAGGGTTAAAAGCAAAAAGCCTTTGACATACATAATCCTCTTCATGCTTAAGTGGCCCATAAAGCCGTAAAAAAGTCTTTGAAGGGGGCTGTAAAATTAGAAACCTGTCTGGGCAACATCAGCTATAACCAAGAACTGGCTTGATTTAGTCGCAGCGGGCTTGATTGCTGGTGATTCACAAGTTAAAGAAATTTAAAGGAAAGCTATCCTTTGTTTTTGAGTGTATTTTTCCAAAGGCCAAAACATTTGGGGTTGCGACGTTGATATTTAAGTAACGTATCCAGTCAGGACAAAATTACTCAAAGAAATGAAATTACTCATTCAAGCAAATGATGGACTCGATTATGTGTCCAAAAATGATTTGAAACAATAACAAGTCATTACTGTGGATAACGAACGAATGATGTTAAGTAGAAAACAAAAACACCAGGGATGGAAGTACAGCAAATCTTTGGACGGTGGATGGTACGGTTCTGTCCAAGATTGCTGTAACATCAGAGACTTCTGACAAGTTACCTGAGACTAAGCTTCTGTAAGGTTCCCAGAATGTTCTCACTAGTGAGAGATGTTTTCGGTTCCTTCGTTAATGCTGACAGTAAGGCCTGCACAAGAGATGGATTCTGAGCTAAATATGAACGTCCTGCATAGTAACAAAGACAAGAGCAATGTTATATACCTTTCACAATAGCTAAAAACTGTCAAACATAGCTATTTATTCTGTCTGTTAGTATGATTCACATAGCTATAATAATATAAACAGTGGAAGCCACAAAAAACTTCATTAACTGCTGCATTATTTGTGTTCTTTTTAACCTTATAACGAAAACAACAAAACAGGTAGCAGTTAGATTGTCACGCCGATTAGTTTTAAAGTAATTAAAACTTTAGAGTGAAGATTTTGTCAAAATAAGGATGTTCTGGCAATAAAGTCATATACATGTATGAACATAATACATGGTATTTTTTCCAATCTTTGTTCCAAACTATTTGTACAAATGAAGACAGTGACTATGCTATTATTTAAAAAAAATGCCTATTAGATCATGCATGGCTTTTTCTAGGCCTCTTCGTGAATTTGTTTCAGCAATGTGCACCACTAAGATGAACAGCAGGAGAAAACCAGCATCCTCACAGTCATTTTTGTTTAGCTAAACATTTTGTTGTCTTTCCCAAACATTTCACATGATGGGAATGATTAAAAACATGTCTCAAACTAGATTCATTCCATAAAGTTGTGCCTGAAAAGCACATGTTTTATATTGATTTATTTTCCTGTTTGTTCTCCAAGTTTAGTCTCGACTGAAAAGATATGTATAATCTTGTGACAGTGTTTCATCATGTTTTGGCCAAAGACCTGGGCCGGGTTGTTCGAAAGTGCTAACCCAGGATTAAAAGTTAACTGAAGTATTTATTTTTCTGGCATAAAAAAACATTGCTTATGTTTTAAGTAGTTTAAGATTACTAAAGCTCAGACTGAGGGACAAACAATAGCAGTTTTTATAATTGAAATGATCATCCTGCATAAATATGTTCCTTTATGTATTATTTATTTTATTTATTTTAAACAGAAAACCTCACCAAAACGTTTAAAACTGACATCAAATTTCTCGCTAATCCTGGGTTAGCTTAGCTGGGCATTGAATAACACGGCCTGAAGTTCATCAAAATCTAGTTATAAGTGACATAATTATTTTTAACTCTCTTCTCAGTGTTTGTAAATAATTTTATGATAAAACACTGTTACAAGTGTTATATTAACTAGAAGATGTCACTAATTTGGAATGGGGATGATTCATTCATGTGCAATGCAGGACTTTGTAAGTGAAATTGATCACAGAAATTAAGAACATTGAAATGTTGAGTTGGAAAAGGTTCATGTTGGTTGCCATAAGGTGTTGAAGGTTCTGTAGATGATAATTATTGATGAGAGAACGTTGGGACAGTAGACACAGCTTCTGATTGGCTAATTGCGAATTTGGGTACGGTAATGTATATAATCAGTTAATTAGTGTAGCTTCCTTACAAGACCATTATGTAGTGTAAGTACATTACACTGGTAAGTGATGTACTTGTAACAAAAGACAGAAGAAAACAGATGAAAATAGTGCCACTGTCTGCTATTTGGTAGCCTGCGAACAGGCTCATGTTCGAGCACAAGCCCGCAAGCGTAGAGGCGTAGACCGCACACGTAAACGTGTGTTGTTTTGATGCCCGCTTGCAATCACATACATTTGTAATATTTAACTCTTTCCATATGCAGTTGACAACACAACAAGTACGTCTTGATTCATTAACATACTTTCAACTGCTAATTCCTGCTGCCTCTAGTTTGAAATTTAACCAGAAATAGACTGGAACTTTGTTAAAACATCAATAATACGTGCACTCAACTCTTCCTCTGACTCCAAATGTGGATGACTTGTTTTTTATTGTGCGGTAAATTACCGACTTCATGGGGATTTAATCACCCCTCATCAAACATAATAGATTGACAGTTTTCTCGCCTTTCCCGCTTTTCGACCAATGGTATTTTACTTCACTCAGATGAAGCAGAAATGAAAAAATTACAGAGATCAGGGCAGGCTCACTTTCTTAGCGCTTCTTCACCAGACTCCTTCCCGCCGGATCACTTTACTCTTCACCGCTCGCGCGTGTGACTCAAAGGTGAGCCTGCTCACAGGCTGGCTATTTGGAAGAATGCTTGACCCATTTTGAGTTAACTGAATTCAGATTTGAAACAAGGTTTGCATTGTTTCCTCTTGCCTTAATTTTACAATGTAATAGCACAGGTCAAAATATTCACCATTGTCTACATTTATACCATTGTTGTGACTGAGCAGCTGCAAGCGACACTTGAGAACGTCCATCATAGGGACCTCCTGCTGGTGATGGGTGACCTTAATGCTAAGGTCGGCTCAGACAACATGAATTTTGAAAGGGTAACGGGAAGAGAAGGATGTGGACTGCAGAATGACAATGGAGAGAGGCTGGTAGAATGGTGTGCATTCAATAACATGTTCATTGGTGGAACTTTATTCCTACATTGCAACATTCACAAACTCAACTGGACATCCCCAAATGGGAGGGATCAAAACCAAATAGACCATCTCATGGTTAACAGCATGTGGCGCCGCTCCCTGCTTGACATAAGAGTAAAAAGAGGGGCTGATGCAAGCACCCCTAGATATGACATCAGCAGACTACAAGACCCTAGGACTAAGAAAGCCTTTGTCCTACAGCTGAGGNTACTAATGACAGCAACGACAGAGATAAAGAAGCCTTCTATGAGCAGCTGCAAGCGACACTTGAGAACGTCCATCGTAGGGACCTCCTGCTGGTGATGGGTGACCTTAATGCTAAGGTCGGTTCAGACAACATGAATTTTGAAAGGGTAATGGGAAGAGAAGGATGTGGACTGCAGAATAACAATGAAGAGAGGCTGGTAGAATGGTGTGCATTCAATAACATGATCATTGGTGGAACTTTATTCCCGAATCGCAACATTCAGAAACTCACCTGGACATCCCCAAATGGGAGGGATCAAAATCAAATAGACCATCTCATGGTTAACAGCATGTGGCGCCGCTCCCTGCTTGACGTAAGAGTAAAAAGAGGGGCTGATGCAAGCAGCGATCACCATCTTGTGACTGCAAAGGTGAGACTGAAACTCAGAGCAGCTGGACCAAACAAATACACCACCCCTATATATGACATCAGCAGACTACAAGACCCTAGGACTAAGAAAGCCTTTGTCCTACAGCTGAGGAACAGGTTCCAAGCCCTGAGTAACATAGACGAGCAAGACAATGAAGAAGAAGACGCTGTAAATCAACAGTGGAAGCAAGTGAGGAACATCTTTGATGAAGCAAGTAAAACCTGTCTG